AGGACGCCCCGAGGAGTGTCTAACGAGCCCCTCAATCAATCAAAGGTGGGGTGGGGCGACCCCGCCCCCACCAATCAATCAATCAATCAATCAATCAATCAATCAATCAATCAACGGAAAAAGAAAAAAAGAAAAAAAAAACCGCTCATTTTTTTTTTCTTCATTTCTCCTCGTAATATAGCCCAACCCCCCCAATTCAAAATTGTTTTTTTTTCATTTTTTTTTGTGTGAGGGGGTGGGGCCGGGGTTGCGCCGCCCCATGGCGCTTCCCAAACCCCCAACCCCCTTCCCTCTGGCCGCCACGTGGCGTCAAAGCCGCGCGTCCGCGGGGTCGGCGGACTGGCCGCGTCCGTGGATTCGGCCGCGCTTGGCTGCCGCCGAGGGGATTCATAGACGTCAAACATTATTAATCGCGCCTCTGTCGGCGCGCCAGCCACTCAACCGATCATCCTGGGACTTGCCCAGCCCTGAACCCAGCCATCTGAAAAGAAGCGACGTAAAAAGACGAAGAAGCGAGGACACCACTGCAATTTTCCCTTCGATCCCGATCTCCCGTAATTGGCCCAACCTTCCCATCTTAGGACCCCTTATTGTCCTCGCGCAGAAGATCGCGCGGAACAGAAATCGGTTCGTCACAGGTGACAGGGCCGTTGAAGAACTACATGGCCGGATCTTTGAAGCAGGATATGGCCCGGCCTTTGACGCAGGAGTATGGGATGGCAGAAAAATCAAGATGGATTTGTATCCCCAAGTACTGTTTTCTTTTTGTTTTGGGAAAAGTCATTACACCTCTCCACGACAAAACCTTTGTATCCATTTCCCCCCCAACCGGGAAAAAAGTGCCGCCGGTCCCAAAATAACTTTTGGTGTCATTTTTGCACCCTGGCTGGGCCTGTAACAGCCGCTGTGTAAAAATGGCCGGAAAGTGTTTTGCAGGGTGCAAAAATGAAGCAGAAAGTGATTTTGGGGCCTGTGGCACCTTTTTCCCATTCTGGGCGGACATGGATACAAAGGTTTCGTTGCGGAAATGGATACAAAGGTTTCGTTGCAGAAATGGATACAAAGGTTTCGTTGCGGAAATGGATTACAAAGGTTTCGTTGCGGAAATGGATACAAAGGTTTCGTTGCGGGGAGGTTTTATGACTTTTTCCTTTTGTTTTTATTTTTGTTCTTTTCCATCGCAGAGGTGGGGGCAAAAAAAGAAAGACTCATTTTGATTGGAGGTACTTCAGGCGAGAAAAACAAATCAAGTACTCGAAGGGGTTGGTATTCACCACCTTCTTTTTCCCCATCTATTCCAGCCCAGTAGAGTACATGATCTTTTTCTCGAAATGTACGAACTGCACACTTGAGCATGGCAATTGTCAAAGAAGGGAGTCCAGTCGGGCACACTAAGGGACTCCCTGAGGTTGGTACATGAGACTGCAATCGTCACCTACCACTCTGTCCTCATTCAGCATTGGGGGGGTGGTGAGCAGCAGGACGAGGCCATTTTTTCTTTTTAAGGTCTTTAAAATTACTTTTCTTCCTTTTCTCAAAGTGTGGCACAGGTCCGAATAGTCCGTGACTGGTGCGCTAGTGGAGTCGTGCTATCCGCGCTCAAGCCTCCAACGAGGGAACAAGCCTCCAACGAGGCAGCATGCGGGAGCTGCACCCACCAGCAGGTGTGATACCTGCTACAGCAGTTGGGACCAGGGGTCAGCCGGTACGGAGCTCTGACGAGGGAACAAGCCTCCAACAAGGGAACATGCGGGAGCTGCACCCACCAGCAGGTGCGATACCTGCTACAGCAGGTGGGCTGTACCGGTCAGGGGTCAGCCGGTACCAAGTTCCTTCGATGGGCCAGTCACTGTGCCTCCACTCCGGTCCCCTCCCCCTATGAACATCAGCAGTCTTTGCTCAATGCCAGTCGGGGGAACCAACGGCATATATATCTCTCGGTGGCGGGCCCCAAGCTTGCCCAGGAAGGTACATGAGGCCGGTGGGAATTGAACCCAACACCTCCTGAATGGCACTTCCGCGCCTTACCAACTGACCTAGGCCGCTGGATATCATATCAAATTCTCAATAGCTCCGTACAAAAAGAAAGCTCCTTCGCTACCCGACCTTGATCGATATCACCCTCGCGTATGAGAAAAGACGAAAAAGAAAGAAAGCTCCGTTAATAGCCGCCAGTATGTACCGTCGTGACGAGCACACCCCGCCAGAATACGCGACCGTGAGTGAGCACAATAAATCAATAAGTAGAGCCCGACTCTCGTCAATAGATGCGCCATTTTTTGTCTGAATGAACGAACACGTTCTGGCCAAAGTATGTGGTTCTGAGCAGACGCTGAAGTGGCTCTCGCGGATGATATCATCATCGCTTGATGTCCTTGCGTGATGTCAAAGTCGTTAGACAGGGGACGTAGGGTATTGTGATTGTCGCGGTTGTCGGGAACGCACAGCAGCTCTCGCCAGCCATGATCATCGCTTGCTGTAAATTTGGAACGACACGTGACTTAGGCTGTTGCTGTTGCTGTCGTGATTCCCGGGGGCGTATAGTGTGACCCTTCCAGGAAGATGTAGTAGTAGGGAGTGCCTGGAAACGTTGAAAGGTGGATATAGGGAATGAAATGTGCTGTGCGCGTGAGTGGCGCTCGCTCGCTATCGAAACGTCAGCAGGGTGATTGGTAGGTGACTAGGTACAGATGGAGAACGGGAGGTAGGAAGAAGGGGAGGGGGAGAGCGTTGAGCTGCTGACCGATTGGTCGTTAATCGGGAAGCCATGGAAAATGAAAAGAGGAGGAGGGAAGAAGAGAAGTAGTGGGAAGGAGGAGGGAAGAATGAGGAGTAGTGAGGAGGAGGAGGGAAGGGGGGGGGGCAGCGTTGAGCTTGCGGATAGTGACATTTCACCGACTTGAAAGGTGATTGTTGGTTTAAGTGATGGGCCGATAGCGAATGGTAAGTAGGCGGGGGAAGAGTGGGAGGTAGCTTGAGCTTGCCGATACGGGCTTGGCAGCAACTTGATTGGTGGTCAATTTGGGAGAGAGGGAGAGTAAGAAAAATAGGAGGAGGGAAGGGGAAGAGCGTTGAGCTTGACGCTACGGACATCCCACCAAGCTGATGGAGAGTGTTGAGTTGAAATGTCGTTGACTGGGAACAGATGGAGAGTGGTAAGTAAGACGGGGGGGGGGGGGCGCGAGCGTCGAGATTACCGATACCAAAATTTTACCAAGGTTAATGGTTGTTTAGTGGGCACAGATGGACAGTGCGACGTAGAAGCAAGGGAGGGGGAGAGCGTTGCGGATACCGACCATTTCGTCACTCCTTAAGTTGGCTGGTCGTGAAGTGGGAGCAGATGGAGAATGGTATGTGTAGGACTATGTAGGACGAGGGGAGGGGGAAAGCGTTCAGCTGACCGACACCGACATTTTACCAAGGTGATTGGTTGTTTACTGGTATCAGGTAAATGATACTTCATGAACGTGAAGGGGAGGGGGAGAGCCTGGAGATTGCCGATATAGATGATACTTCATCAACGTGATTGGTGGCTACACTGGGAACAAATGGAGGGGGAGAAGTAGGAGGGGGAGGGGAAGAAGTAGGAGGGGGGGGGGGGGGGGGGGGGGGGGAGCGTTGATCTTGCTGACATTCAACGATCGTGATTGTTGGTAACCTGGGAACACATGGAGAATGAGAAGTAGAAGAAGGGAAGGAGGAGAGCATTGGTCTTGCCGATAGCGACATGTCACCGTGGTGATTTGTGGTGAACTGCGAAGAGATGGAGGGCGAGAAGCAGGAGGAGGACAGGGGGAGAAATTGAGGTAGAGAAGAAAAGGATTACGGTAGTCTGCTTGAGAAGGAGCGGGTGGTCGATCTACCGTAGCAGAGATCTACGCCGTCTTCTATAGTGGAGGAGAAAGAGAGGGGGAGCAGGGAGAGCGAAGGGCGTTGAGTTCAGCAAGGTGAGAGCGGCGCTCACTGCGCTGTGTTCATATCTTTGCAATTACCAGGAAGGAGGAGGATGCACAGGAGACGGACGGCGAGAGGAAGACCGGTTTTAGGGACGACGATGGAATTTGGCACCAACATCAGATGTCATCGTAGCAGAGCAAAAGACTATCGTGATCGCCGTCGTTTGGTTCATGTCCGGCTTGACAAGGACTAACCGCCGTAGGCGGTGAATAGGACCGAGTTCTGTGGAACTCGGTTTCCAATCTGTGGCTATTGTCCGCTCTCAGTCCCATGAGGCAGTAGCCTACTTTAGGATTTAGGAAGCTGCATCTCAAAGTAGGAGGAGTCGAGGGAGGAGAGAGAGATGATGGACTGCCGAGACGCCGAAAGAACCGCCAGAGCTCGTCTCCGTACTCGATTGTGGTAGACGACCACTAGAGGTATTTGCTCCCTTGTTTACTGGGACGAGCCTCACCGAACTCTTAAGATTACCGCTTGACACGATGATCTAGTGACGTGGGTCAAGTAAGCGCGCTGCTCTCTCTCTCTCTCTCTCTCTCTCTCTCTCTCTCTCTCTCGCCCCCCCTCTCTCTCTCTCTCTCTCTCTCTCTCTCTCTCTCTCTCTCTCCAACCCCCGCCGAACGTGTATCTGTGTGTGAGGTAGAGATAGAGATTGAATTCTGAAGAAATGGTTGCGGATGTCGAACACGATTAGGAAAGGGAGAGGAGGCTCAGGAGAGGTGAGGTGCGAGAATTGAGGGTTCTCGTCTCGGTGTGGATTGAAGGCGGATCTATAGTGCTTGGAGGTGGTCAACGATCAAAGCACAAGCACGCCTGGAGCTGATCAACGGCCGCCAAGTCACCGACCTAGTCAACGACCAAGTCAACGGGCTCGCCCACGACGACCTAGACGATCGCATCGGCGAGCACAAATCACCAACGTCCATCGATCAGATCGACGACCGCCACGTCAGCCACGTCAGCATCTGTTTCGTCCCCCCCCACCCCCCTATTTGTTCTGTGAAGTCAGGGTGGTGGTTTCGGTTTCTGTGGGTCATTTTCGGTTCTACTACGGCACTTTTGAGCGGCCTTGGCTTCGTCATCGCGCGCTCGCGAAGATGGCGGCTACGACGCTCGAATTTCGAGCGGAGGCTTCTGCCCCGCCTAGTGCATTTGATGTTGACGGCCCTGAATTTTTGACCTGGGTCATCGGTGGTGCTTGGTGTGGTTACCCTCGCAACGACCCGCTCCGAGTAACGCAACTGGTATCTGACGTGGCAATGAGTCTGGCGTACTTCTCCATTCCTGTGCAGATCTTCTACTGCTGCAGACATGTCCCCACTCTTCCTAATACTCTGCGCCGACTTCTTCAGCTCTTTGCCGCATTCATTTGGTTCTGCGGTTGCTCGCATCTAGTCACCGCTTGGACATATAGTCCACACACGGTGGCCGTTTTGCTGTTGCTGGTCGCCATCAAGATTGCGACGGCTGCCGTGTCGGCTGCTACCGCCGTAGTCCTCGTCAGGGTCTTCCCCTCAGTACTGCATCTCGACAGTCTAAGGGCATCGCTGCAAGAAAAGGTACGGTATGGGAAAAAAAAACCTTAAGACCAGTGGAGTATGGACTGAACACAGAAAAGTTAAACAAGAAAACCTTTACCATGTGGAGTATCACACACGTAGAACTGTTGGTGAATAGATCATTGAGTTTGAATCTGCTGGCTATCCTGGACAGCTGCGTGAAGGCAGGTGTGTGTGTGTGGGTGTGATTAGCTATCTTGTTCCTGATTAATTGCTGTACACAACTGCGTTGACTGATGGTTTCGTCATAACACATGGCTTCCAGTCGAAAAGAAAATCGACTAACGTGATTTTCTGACTCGGTGTGTTGTGTTGGCTCAACGTGGCTGCTTCGGCGTGCGCGGCGTCGACTTCTCTGGCCACGTCGGCATCAACGGCGTTGACTTCTGTGCCCACATGGGCATCAACGACGTTGACTTCTGTGCCCACACTCACGGCGTTGATATCTGTGGCCGCATCGGCATGAACGGCGTTGACTTCTGTTGCCACGTCCGCATGGACGGCGGTCACGGTTGACTTCTGTGCCCACATGGGCATCAACGACGTTGACTTCTGTGCCCACATTCACGGCGTTGATATCTGTGGCCGCATCGGCATGAACGGCGTTGACTTCTGTTGCCACGTCCGCATGGACGGCGGTCACGGCGTTGACCTGTCTGGCCACGTCGCCATCAACGGCGTTGACATCTCTGACCACGTCGGCATCAACGGCGTTGACTTCTCTGGCCACGTCGGCATCGACGGCGTTGACTTCTGTGCCCACATCCACGGCGTTGACTTCTGCGGCCACATCGGCATGAACGGCGTCACGTCCGCATGGACGGCGGTCACGGCGCTGACCCTTTTTGCTTGTGTGTCGGTGAGCCAGGCAAACGGTCTGGCGCGGGAGTTGGACGAGGTGCGGGAGCTCGGGAACAAGTTCCACATAGAGCGCATGTTGGTACGTCAGGTTCATAATTCGTTGGATCGGGATACTATATTCAGGTCGGTGTTGACGGAGCTGAGGCGTGTCTTCTCTCTTGCTGGGTGTTTTCTACTTGCATACCCTGATTGCGCCTCGAGCAGTGATCAGCTGATCGTCACGCATGAGGACTGGGACACGGACGTGGTGAGGCCATCATCAGCGACGGCGGCGGCGGCGACGCCGGGGCCGGCGGGCCACGTGGCGTCCCCCAGGGTAGTCCGCAAGAACGATCCCGCGGTGCGACAGCTTCTCCTGAAGCGATCGGCAGGACCGACTACGTTCCGCGGGAAGGTGGGGAAATCTCTGCTGGGGGCAATTTCCCCTCCATTCTCCATCCCCCCTCCGCGGGGTGACGAGGATCCAGTGGTAGGTGTTCGCTTCCGGCTGCCCATGGCACCGGATCCCGACTTTATGGATTCTAGCGCCGGGGTCCTTGAGGAGAGTTGGGAGAGAGAGACGCCGGGGGCGCCACCGGAGAACCATTCGAAAGAAAGCATCATGCAGAAGAATCTTAGCCATGTTGCCCTGCAGAAGGGACCGAGCATCTCTGCCGCGCGGCGGCAAATCACCAACGTGGGCGCTGGACTGCTGCGGCAAAAGCGCCTTCAACCTGGACGATGGATTGGGCATCCTGTCGAGTACACGGACAAGCACGCGGAGGACAAGCACGCGGAGGACAAGCACGCGGAGGACAAGCACGCGGAGGACGAGCACACGGGGAAGGACACGAACGTGGACAGGGAAATATGTGCGGGGACAGATGCGAGCCGCGGCGATGAGATGGACTTGGAAGCAGGACTGCCAACTGCAGGAACCTGGAGGCAGGTTGTTGCGTCGGGATGCCCTCGAGGTAAGTGGAGTGAGATAGAGGAGCACCCGCATCTGGGTTTTGCAAAGGATGGGGAGGGGGCGGAGGCTGTGGGAGGGAATTTGGATAGCCATCATAGCCCGGATAGGGATGACAGTAGGATACGGTACTCTTGGGCAATCCTGGTTCTAGTTCGACCCTCCGAAAGAGCGACACGATGGGATTCCCGCGATCTGGCCACGATTGCAGCGGTGGGTGACCAGCTGGAGGTTGCCTTGGCACATGCAGCAGCTGTCGAGGCTACGCAAGCTAACATGATCCGCATCAGCAGGGCGTGCTGCGCTCTCCGAGAAGCGGAAGGCTTGAAGCGGACTGCTTTCAGATATCACGATCAATTTCTGGAAGTGAGTAACTCACGTTCCCGTGTTGAATTTTTTTTCTTTGTTTTTCACCTTCGTTGGGGAATTCATTTCCCCTGTTCAGTCCGTTTCCCAAAGCCTCTCTCTCTCTCTCTCTCTCTCTCTCTCTCTCTCTCCCCCCCGACCTTCTTCAACATCCTCTCCATCTGCCATGTCGCCGTCTGCGTCTGCCCACCTACTCACCCTCCACTTCCCCCTACTTCGTCTCTTCGTTTATTGCTCTTCAACGTCAACCCAAGCCCGGGTCTCCTTATCTTCTTAAAAACTTTTTCAGGGCATCTTTTTCTTTCTTTGAAAAATGAAAATGAGCATAACTGTGTCCTGTTGGTAATACATCTGCCGTGAAAATGAACCTGGACCATAAAGCCGATAGTCCTTCTTGGAAACGTTTTGCGCCAAAACGGCCGCTTAGGTGAAACCCAGTGGGCGGCGTGCATCTGGCTGTCCTCTTCGGTTAAGCACATGTTGAGGGCCTTACCTCTGTGACTCTGTCATTCAGTGGAAGTCGATTGCGGAACGAAAGAGAAAGAGAAGTACCTTGACCAATCTAATCCTCGTAAGCGGACGTAAACGGACGTAAACGGACGTAACTGGAGACGTCAACGGCGACCGCAACTGGGAACCCCGGTGTAAAAGTCGGCAGCCTCATGCGCAGCAGGCAGCAGGCAGCAGTGCATCAATTTGGATGCTCTTGTGGAACGGGATGCACGTATTTGACGGGTCGTTGTGGAAAGGGGCACACGTGTTTGAAGGGTAGATGTGTAAATATATACCTGTAGTTCTGAAGCAAAATCTTCGTGTCGTCGCTGTATGAAGGAATCCCATCTCATCTTATGTCAGACCTTGTTATGTATTTCATGAGGGACGCCGAGCCCTGTTTTTTTTTTTTTTTTTTTTTTGGGATTTTTGTGTGTCATCGTTACGCAGGGGCGGTGCTAATCTTCTCTGTATCGTTCCAATTTCAACGGATGTCCCGAAGGACGAGCCCGGTTTTCAGCACATGCTACCCAAAAAAAAAAGAGAAAAAAGTCCCTTTTGTTTTCCTAGGACCTAACATCCCCTCTGTTTTTCTTTCCAGTTTACCAAATGTATGAGTGGTCTCGTACGGCAAGACCTGCATTCCGTTTCCCTGTCAATGCTGTCATGCATGTCCTCTGAATTCATGATGACCTGTATCGTGTGTCCGGACCTGCATTTGACCATGCGGGCGTCCATGCGTGCGTGTGTGCGCGTGGTGGTGTGTGTGTGCGGTGTGTGTGTGTGTGTGCGGTGTGTGTGTGTGGGTGTGTGTGTGTGTGTGCGCGCGTGTGTGTGTGT